AGGCCACTTGTACTGCCAGACAGGATTTTGCTGTGACACTCAATGATGTTGACCAGCATTGCCATGTGACTATGTAAGGTCAATGATGGCCATATGATCATATAACGTCAAAGAGTGCCTCTTTGTGTACATGCAGACTGCATTTGATTGGGTGGCAAAGGGTGGAAGTGACAGCTTCCTTCTGGGATTTGGTCCAAAATCCAAGTTCATACAAAACTCAGCTCATTCATACCAATCATTACATTAATAAATCAATGGGGGGGGGGGGGGGGTTTGTGAGGCAGGTCTTCCTAAAGCATAGCTAAAGCTAAATTGTGTTTTTTTTTCATTTTGGATGGAGTAGTGAAGCCCAGTCTGCTTTTTGCCATGTTTCACAAGGGATATTTGCCAATAATTCTTGTCCTGTGAACACATCAGGAAGTGAGGGAAACCCTCTCTAAAATAAGGGGACATCCCATCTTCGTGAGCTGCCCTTTGATCTAGTGACAATTGTAAAATTTTGGATTCCCTTCACTCCTGTCTTAGTGACATTGGTAATTGCAATGGAATAGTCACTGGAATAGGTGTTCCCATTTGAAAATTTAATTTCATCTGTTATGGTGAGATCCTCAGGTTTTTATTGCTGTCCATGTCCCCATTAGGAGGTTTTTCCTTGATTGCTGTCAGGGCAAAGTTTGCTGGTCTCAAGAGTTATATGACTTCCCCTCTTAGACAGGACAAGTGTCCCCACTGGACGATATCCCACTATTCCTGTTCTGGTGATAACTCAACATTTATTACTTTTTTTCACTTTCAATCCTGTGAAAATGGCCACTAGATAAAATAGAGGAGTGATTTTAGCCCTTCCACACTCTAAGACTTGAAAAATATAACCTGGCTATAGGGAAGTTGTTGAGATAAATATCCATGGGACACCTTACTGAACTAAAAATACATTGAAAAAAATTTAAATAATATTAATAAAGCTATGTTCTAGCTATAGAGATATATGATGTTGTTTAGAGGAATGTCCACGAGGCACCTTAAAAGAGAGAGAACTAAAAATAATAAAAATAAAATAAATAAAAATGTAAAAACTCTACAAATATGCTCTGGCTATAGAGACGTAAAGTTGTTTAGCGGAATGTCCATGAGATGCCTTACAATATAGTGAACTAAAAATAATAAAATAATAAAAAATAAATAAAATATGTTCTGGCATGTGAAGTTGTGTAGCTGAATGTCCACGAGACACATTGACATAGTGTGAACCCATGAATGACAACTCTGTCCTGGCTAGGTTGGGCACACAAAGCTGTCAGTTGGCAGGCTCCTGGGAACCTTATCAGCTCCTAGATAGATGCTTATAATAACTGGGAACTATGGATTGCCTTTCTCCTGTAGACAGATGAGTTGTCAGGGTACTTCCTCTTTTAGGATTTGCTGGGATAGTAAGTGTCACACATTTGTTTATGTCGTTTATTAGAGAAGTCAATAGTTATCTTTTACCTACGTAGCTGGAAACTTTCAGCCACGTGACCCTGAGATTCTTTACAAAATGACACTGCCCTCACCGACTAAACTGGAGCGGGCAGGTATTTCACCAAGTCAAGCATGAGGTGAGAGATCTGAGACTCGCGACCAAATTTATGACACAGCCCGTGAAGAATGTTTTTCCTCTCCTGATGAGAAAAGAAGGCCAATTGCCATCAAACTTTTCCAATGACATTTTTCTTGTTTTGGAGAGATTTTGGAAGGGTTAGGACCTCTGTCAGGATTTTATTGCTGTCTGTGTTCCTGAGGAGGTGATTCATACTAGCTATTCATCCTGGCGACCACTGTTACAGAAAGTGATGGGAGATCCAACATTTTTTAGTTGCCACAGGAACAGGAGGTGGGGGGAAAATCTTCTGATGTAGACACCTATTCTTTTATTGACTGTTGGAAAGGAACAAGAGAGGAGAGGTGAGGCAGGGAGAAGAGGACAGTAGAAGAGAGGAGAGGAGGGTCAGGGAAGGGAGAAGAGAAGAGAAGAGAAGAGAAGAGAAGAGAAGAGAAGAGAGACACCTATTCTGGTATTGACTGTTGGAAAGGAGCAGGAGAGAAGGGTCAGGGAGAAGAGGACAGTACAAGAGAGGAGAAGAGGGGCAGGGAGGGGAGAAGAGAAGAGGAAAAGAGAGGAGAGCAGAGAAGAGAGGAGAGGTGGGGAGAGGAGGAGAGGGGAGAAGAGAAGACAAGAGAAAATAAGAGAAGGGAAAAGAAGAAAAGAGAATAGAAGAGAAGAGAGACACCTATTCTGGTATTGACTGTTGGAAAGGAACAAGAGAGGAGAGGTGAGGCAGGGAGGAGAGGACAGTAGAAGAGAGGAGAGGAGGGTCAGGGAGGGGAGAAGAGAAGAGCAGAGAGACACCTATTCTGGTATTGACTGTTGGAAAGGAGCAGGAGAGGAGAGAAGGGGCAGGGAGAAGAGGACAGTACAAGAGAGGAGAAGAGGGGCAGGGAGGGGAGAAGAGAAGAGAAGAGAAGAGGAGAAGACAGAAGAGAAGAGAGGAGAGGTGGGGAGAGGGGAAGAGGGGAGAAGAGAAAAGAAGAGAAGAGAAGAAAAGAGAAGAGAGACACCTATTCTGGTATTGACTGTTGGAAAGGAGCAGGAGAGGAGAGAAGGGGCAGGGAGAAGAGGACAGTACAAGAGGTGGGGAGAGGAGGAGAGGGGAGAAGAGAAAAGAAGAGAAAAGAAGAGAGGAGAAGAGAAGAGAAAAGGACAGAAGAGGAGAGAGAGAGAAGAGGAGAAGAAAGGAAAGGAGAGGTGGGGAGGGGAGAAGAGAGGAGAGGTGGGGAGGAAGGGGAGGAGAGGGGAGAAGAGAAGAGAAGGGAGAGAAGAGAAGAGAAGAGGAGAAGAGAGGAGAGATGGGGAGAGGAGGAGAGGTGAGAAGAGGACAGGAGAGGAGAGAACAGGAGAGGAGAGAAGAGATGAGGAGAAGAGAGGAGAGGCCCTCAGGGGAGCAGAGGGGAAGGGAGATGAGGAGAGTACAGGAGTGGATAGGAGAGGAGAGATCTCTTCTTACTTCTTCTTGCCCTACTCAATCCAAAATGAAACAAAAGGTTTTGGCTGTACATAAACTTTAAATACCTAACAGGCAATGCTGATATTACCCAGAGGGCCTTCCTCTTTTTGCAGAGAGGTATTTGCATTCCCCAGGTGGTATTCCTGACATTTCCTTATCTGTATTTCCTTGCTCCTTTGGAGCTACATATGTTGACCAGCCCCATGTTGATGAAGGCCATTAAGCCAAAACATTACTATCCATGGGTTGCGTTCTGGTTCAGCAGAGACCGTGTGAAGCTTTAAACCCCCAGTAGATGAGACATTCATCTAAACAGCTGTTGTGAAGAAAGTGGAATTTGAAAGCCTTTTCTCCTCTTTAGAAAGCATAATTTGCATTCAGATCAGAGAAAGATGAATCCCGATTGGCCGTTATGGGTTGCTGCACATTGACGATTTTATTTGTTGTAATAATTAACTATATCCCCAACTTCGATGTGGTGCTCCGATGACCCAATAGGGTTTTGATTTACTAAAACTAGAGAGTGCAAAATCTGGTGCAGCTCTGCATTGTAGCCAATCAGCTTCTAACTTCAGTTTGTTCAATTAAGCTTTGACAAAATACTTGGAAGCTGATACAATGCAGAGCTGCACCAGATTTTGCACTCTCCAGTCTTAGTAAATCAACCCTATTGGGTCATCAGAGCACCATGTCAAAATTTGGGATATAGGTATTTACTAAAACAAAGAAATTGTATGATAATAACAATGTTACGTTTTATGAAGTGATAGCAATGGATGGATTGATTTGCAAACTTTTCAGCTACCTGTATTCAGAGAACAGATCAGATCCATAATATTTACACTGAACCAAGGAAAAAAAGTACAAGGTTGTGGATTCTGGGAATTGCATCTTGTCCTGTTGCCTTGCGCCATTATCTTTGTAACACTTATTCATACATACAGCAAATACAGAGGAATGGGTTACCTTCCAGAGTGGATGGAGAGATTCTGGCCTATGTAACGCATCAGCTGGCTTGGCCCGTGGTCCCACTTGCACTGGTTTGCCCAGGATTCAGCAGATTTGGCTAACCGCTCATCCCACACCTTAATGAGACAAAAGATCAGCATTAAAGGGCTTCTGTGCTAAAAAAAAATGAAAAAAAAAGAATAGTGACAAGTAAATTTACTTGCCATCCAGAAAGCATTGGTATAGTGTCAAATGTTGTGTTGTGATGGAGGAGACATATGTTTTGCTCCCATTTAACAATAGATGTCCCCACAATATTAAAAGTATTGAGTTGTTTCTCCATATGTCTATGAAATCGGTGCAATGGAGGCATCTCTTTAGCTTAAATCTACATACTGGGGTGGATCTCCTAAAAAACATAGAGGCCAATCACCCAACCAAGTCCTAGCTGAAATCCTGTTGCAAGTCCCCATTGCAAATCATTACACACAGTGAACTCAATTGCACCTTATTCAGTTTGTTAGGTGGTTAGCCAGTACTCTTTTAGTAACTTATTATTATTATACAGGATTTATATAGCGCTAACAGTTTGCTCAGCACTTTACAATATAAAGGGAGACAATACAGCAATGATACAGTTCAATACAAGAGGGATAGGAGGGCCTGATCCTTGGAGTTTATAATCTAAGAGGGAGGGGCTGGTGGTACAAAAGGTAGTAACTGTGGGAGATGGACTGATAGGAGAAATAGAAGATTCTGTTATTAGCTGAAGGCAGGATAGGCTTCCCTGAAGAGATCGGGGAGGCTCTGGAGAAGTCCTGGAGGCAAGCATGGGAGGAGGAGACAAGAGAGCTAGAGAGCAGGAGGTCGAGCGGAGAGGACAGTTTGGGTGATATTTGGAGACAAGATTGGTGATGTAATTGGGGGCAGAGTTATAAATGTCTTTATATGTTATCGTAATGTTTTAAATTTTATCCATTAGGCAATGGGAAGCCAGTGGAGGGATTGGCAAAGAGAGATGGAAGACACTGCGTGGAGACCAGTGGAGGGATTGGCAGAGAGGGATGGAGGACACTGAGTGGAGGCCAGTGGAGGGATTGGCAGAGAGGGATGGAGGACACTGAGTGGAGGCCAGTGAAGGGATTGGCAGAGAGGGGTGGAGGACACTGAGTGGAGGCCAGTGGAGGGATTGGCAGAGAGGGGTGGAGGACACTGAGTGGAGGCCAGTGAAGGGATTGGCAGAGAGGGGTGGAGGACACTGAGTGGAGGCCAGTGGAGGGATTGGCAGAGAGGGGTGGAGGACACTGAGTGGAGGCCAGTGGAGGGATTGGCAGGGAGGGGTGGCAGATATGGAATGATTAGTAAGGTGGATGAGTCTGGCAGCAGCATTCATGATAGACTGAAGAGGGTTTAGCCTGCGATGAGGTAGGCCAATGAAGAGGGAATTACAATAGTCAAGGCGAGAGATAACAAGGGAGTGAATAAGTTGCTTAGTGGTTCCCGCCCACAGCCTGTGACTGGACAGTGAAGGAGAAGCAGCAGACTGATAGATTCATCTCTCTGCTCTCTCCTCTCCTGTCAGCATGTGTATGTAGCATATTTGATTGGCTCCCAAGAGCTACTTGTCTCCCAGACTAAATACTGCTGTACAGGGGAATACAGAGGCTAATATACAGGAATATGACTACATGACTACTACAAGAAATACATGACCACTACAAGAAATACATGACTACTACAAGGAATACATGACTACTACAAGAAAATACATGACTACTACAAGGAATACATGACTACTACAAGAAATACATGACTACTACAAGGAATACATGACTACTACAAGGAATACATGACTACTACAAGAAATACATGACTACTACAAGGAATACATGACTACTACAAGGAATACATGACTACTACAAGAAATACATGACTACTACAAGGAATACATGACTACTACAAGGAATACATGACTACTACAAGGAATACATGACTACTTTCACTGATGTCTTTTTATATCTGCCAAGAGTTCAGGTTTAGGATTTCTAGTGCAAGAACATTGACACCTGGGTAAATGAGAACATCGGGACGTTCATGTTCTTATGATGAAGGGAACAGCTTCCTAGAATGTCATACTCACAGCAAAATTGTAAGAACAGCTACATTTGGAAAAATAATATTTTCAGACATGGTTATAGGAACTGTTTGATCAGGCTGCCTCTATGTCAGAAAAGTCCTTTTCAGTTAAAAAGTCAGGCAGGTGTTGCTTCATGACATGTAGCTGTGAAGGTCTACCAAACACATAAAATAGGCCCATTGATAAAAAGGGAAATCATCATTTTCTGTTTTAATTCATCCTTTTTCCCTCTGTATATATATAGATATATATTTCTCTCTCTCTCTCTCTCTCTCTCTCTCTCTCTCTCTCTATATATATATATATATATATATATATACACACACACACAGTATATAAATACACATAAGTATACATATATATATACATATATATTAATATATATATAAATATATATAAATAATGATATCTTTATTGTATTGCTCACTGTTCTCCTTGTTGGAGAGGAAGCTATACCTGAGGACCTGCAGTGCAAGGATCTTCCCGCTTCTAATTCTTTCATTCTGTGGAGATTTGTTTTCTGCACATTTTCTATTACTTAATATACAATATTTGCCCACCAGTCATTTGATCATCGAATCTCAAGAGGACAACTCTGACAAGAGTAAGCAAAACCTTGCCCTCTGAAGATGACCACCTCCACACACAACAGACACATGTTAAGTCAGCAATGGGGAAAAGATGAGAAGAAAGATCACAATCAATACTGGTACTGTTACTTGCCCTATGCTTGCCTATTTTGGACACCATTTAAACTGTACAGGTCCCTTTTAATGGAGTTAAATGCAGTTAATGGAGTCCAGGACTGTGCACTTACCATGTATTCCATATTGGCAGCTGGGGGGAAGACTTTGGATCGCACCTGGTTGTGATAGTCCAGCAAGGCATTCATGTCTCTGGGGGAAATGTATCGCTTCCTTCGGGTTCTTGGGATTCCGAGGTCAAACAGAAGATCAGTAGCAGTGCTGTTAGATGGATGCAGTAGTTCAGTAGCACTGGCCAAAGCAAAAGAGCTTGAGACCTTCATAATCCACAGCAGCAAGCCAGAGACATAAGGATGTATGTGTATCAGTGTCATCTCTGAATTTTGCAGGAGAGCTTATAGCTACAGAAAGAAAAAGTCAACCATCATCCAACAGGTCTCTAATGTTCCACCATTTTAAACAATATCTGCAGCTTAGGTACAAACATTACTATGCAAATGATGAGGATAGGGGTGGTAGAACAAAGTCATCTCTATTACAAATGGTTTTAGGTATTTGTTAAAGGGTTATATTACTGGGAGTGGCTCAAGTACCAGCTAAGTGCAATCTCTCCCCAATTTATTTTCTATGTGATGGTCTTATATGTATTAGATGACGCTGAACTTATTGGCCAGCTGATGTCAACTGGCTGTCAGAAATTCCACTTGGATTGCTAGGGCCTGGGTCAGTGGGCTTACGTTCACTTCAAGTGCTTTTTGCATTGCCAAGTCTTTAGTTATACACATCCCAGTTGAAACAAATCAAATGCAGGTTTGAAGGTGGTCAACTGGAAGGCATATGCACCTGTCAATGTATTCTGAATGATCTGAGAAACATCTGAAACTGAAGTCATCAACACAAGCCCAAAGTCTGTCCACACGGGGCTTTATTGCTACCTCTAAAATAAGCAGCTATAGAGTATGCCAGAACCACTTACCAAGACCCCTCTTCTACATAGGAATGAACAGAATGCTTGGATAAACCAAACTGTTATGTTTTTGCATCTGGTGGCCATCTCTGGTGTCTGAGGGGATCTAGAATGTGCATGCATGCCAAAGGTCAATGGTCAACCTTAGAGGGTTAGGTTGGTGTTCCTTTTATAGATGCTTCGGGGGTAATGACACCTGAGCTTGGCATAATCCTTACACAACCTCCCCACCAAGTGCTTCCATGGCGGCATGCAAACATCAAGAACATTTATGGGATGAAAGTAGGCTTCCAGACTTATCTAAGTCTAAATAAATATAACCTTTAGGCCATCAGAGGAGTGGTACTTACTACTCCCCAAATCTGATCTCTGGCTCACCCAGTGTCAGCTACCTAGATACCACCATACTGACCAGGGTACATGTGTCTTGTGAGATACAAAAACTGCTGATCTACTGGGATTTTCACGCACAACCATCTCTAGGGTTTACAGAGAATGGTCCGAAAAAGAGAAAATATCCAGTGAGCGGCAGTTGTGTGGACGAAAATGGCTTGTTGATGTCAGAGGTCAAAGGAGAATGGGCAGACTGGTTTGAGATGATAGAAAGGCAACAGTAACTCAAAAAAACAACATGAAAGCATGGATCCATCCTGCCTTGTATCAACGGTTCAGGCTGGTGGTGTCAGGGTGTGGTGGATCCATCCTGCCTTGTATCACCGGTTTGGCTGGTGGTGGAGGTGTCATGGTGTGGTGGATCCATCCTGCCTTGTATCACTGGTTCAGGCTGGTGGTGGAGGTGTCATGGTGTGGTGGATCCATCCTGCCTTGTATCAAAGGTTCAGGCTGGTGGGGGTGGTGTAATGGTGTGGTGGATCCATCCTGCCTTGTATCACCGGTTCAGGCTGGTGGTGGAGGTGTCATGGTGTGGTGGATCCACCCTGCCTTGTATCACCAGTTCAGGCTGGTGGTGGTGTCATGGTGTGGTGGACCCATCCGGCCTTGTATCACCGGTTCAGGCTGGTGGTGGAGGTGTCATGGTGTGGTGGATCCATCCTGCCTTGTATCACCGGTTCAGGCTAGTGGTGTCATGGTGTGGGGGAGATTTTCCTGCCACTACCAAGGTGGCTGGTGAGTGTATATAAAGTCTTACTACATACTTATGCTGGCCAAACATTATACAATTTTCTCAAGAATTTTTGGTTTAGATTTACCAAAAACCATATAATATGAGGTGAAACCTAACAACACTTTCAATTGTATCCAATCAGGCAGGCCCTTGCACTACATAGTTGACAGTAAATCTAAAGAAAATTGGGCAGAAATTGGACAGAAAATTGTATAGTGTAAGGCCAGCCTTAATGTTTAGTTCTGTGGTAGAAGTCCCCCATAAAAAACCTGAAGACTGAGACTGTCAGTTTCTAAGCCTGCAAGTATTTTTGCAGAAGTCAGCTGGAAAGCATGTAAATACTGCCCCATCAGTGCTTTCCCAACTGGCTCACCTATTGTAAGCACATGAAACATGACACTACCAAAGCTGCAAAGGACAGTCTGCATAAACAGCACATCATATCTTCACAAATGTGTCATTCAAAAATATCTGAATTTTGAAAATCTATGCTCAACATTCCCGTTATCTCTTTTTTTAGGTTACTTGTTACTGCTACCTGTGCTTATATTGTAGCTGCATTTGTGGTACACCTGATGAAGCCTCTTACCATTGAATAGTATTGTATATAATGACATCTACTGGCTATAGTAAGGTGTTGCAAACCATCCTACAGAGCATTAAACATTGCATATCCTAAAGACATATACAGATTATAAATCACTTTTTTTTGCAATGTAAAATGTACATACATGTACAAAAATGTAAGACAGAAAAAATAAATCAGAACTGTACACATTAGGAGTAAATAAATACAATCAAATAATACCAGTGAATTTAAAAATAACTAATAGTAATTATTATTATTATTATTATTATTATTATTGATAAAACACATTTTAAAATTATATAGAAAAGAAGAAGTAAATAGGCAAATAATAAAAAAAATATATATTTAACTAATTCTGTTATTATATTCCTTATCTGTATTATTTTTAAAATGTTGACATTACATGTTCGTATTTACAGTATTTAATACATATTCACACTAGAATTATTAAAAAAAAAACTAAAATAAATCTATCTATCTATCTATCTATCTATCTATCTATCTATCTATCTATCTGTGTATATATATATATATATATATATATATATATATATATATATGTGTGTGTGTGTATATATATATATATATATATATACACACACACACATATATATATATAATACATTTTTAAGTGTATATACTTTATTTAATGACTTGTGTAGAATTTACACATGCAGTGTTAATATATATATCTATAAATATAAATATACACACACATGCACACACACACATATATCTATCTATCTATCTATCTATCTATCTATCTATCTATCTATCTATCTATCTATATATATATGTCATTAAATAATAGAATATACACTTAAAAATGGATAATATATATATATATATATATATATATATATATATATATATACACACACATATATACACACACACACACACACACACACACACACATAT